CATGTCGGTATGGGTTATGATATTGTTTGTTGTAACATATTCCTAATTAATCTTTTAAAGCGTGTACTATATCTAATAGCTTTGCTCATGCTTAAACCACTGATATGAAGTAATTCGTCTAAACTTGTAGGATATGCATGTGCTATTTATATCAAAAAAAAATCCTAGAATACGGCATAAGGGGGTATGCCTTGATGAATGGGGCAATCAGCAGTAATCACAAACGGGCCAATCGATATATACAAAATGGGAGTAGGAGCCAGCGATGTTTTTGTTTGAGCAGACTCATAAGCAGAACAATGGTGGTTGGAGTGTAAGATGAGAGGACAGGGAGCACTGATAGGGCTACCATGACATGGACGTACAATAAAGGGGCAAGGAGGTGTACGCAAGAAAAAAATATCCATCGTTGCCTACTCAATCGTCATTAGCTCCACATTCACACGTGCAATATAGGGAGACTGAGGTGCACGTAAGTAAGAATTCCCTTTTTACTTGCTCAATGGTTGTCAGTTCTCCCCGATTGCAACTCGATTTGACGTTCATTCTCCAGTGTCTTCTATCGTGCATTTCTATGCTTGTTTGTAGAGACGTGCAATAATATAATTGCAGTAGAGTGTAGTCGCAAACAATACCCAGCACAGCTGTAAAGGAGCGAGACGAGGCAGAAGACAAGAAGCGGACATGGTGGCCAAGGAGAGGGTCGGAAGCAACTCAACGGAGGTACTGCATGGCGAGGGCAAGACGTGAACAGCAGCACAGTATGCAGGCGAGGCGCAAGCGCAGGTGACCAAGGGAGGGAATGGGCCAGTTGGCTGAGATGGGTGTGTAGGGGATCAATTGTATGAAGGGTGGATATTCTCTCTTGTAAATAGGTGGGTTGTAAGCCTTTGATTCCGTGCACCATATCGGATGCATGTGAATGAAGCAAGTGCTAGCGCAGGAGTAGAGCGAGACCCTCGTCTCGTTCAATCCATCAGGCCCTAGGCAGGATGCACCTTGTAAATAGCAGTCGGGGCCTATATTCTCTTTGTCTGTTTGTTTGTTTCTTGAGCTAGTGGAATTTGTCTTCAAGCTATCTTCCTAGCTGAGGCGTCCTGATGTTAGAACCAGTCTGAGAGTTGAGACGCTTTTTCGAGGAGGTAGATGCATAATATCATCAAGACATGCAAAGTAAGACTCTAACGGCAATACAAAAGAGGAGTACCTGAGGAAGATAGCACGCTTCAGCGGTCATAACCGTGAGCACACCTGGGATAGTAGAGGACAGAATGAGGAGTAAGGACGGGGAAAGGAAACTTCAAAACCTCTCCAGCTGCTCTTTGTGCCTAGTGGAACAGCGAATGGCGGCATCATGAACATGTGCCTGAATGGCACGGAAAAGCTTCTCGCCCTACGCGGTCATGGGCTCGAGTGCAGCAAGTCTGCCAAACGCAACTTGACGGACACCATGATGGGGTTGCTGCGGAACCGCATAACGTAAAGCAGCTCCGTTAAATGGGGATATTCTTTCGGGTCTGGCCGGAGAATGTGGACACATGGATGGAGGGAGGGTGTATGCAGTCAAATAGTGTCCTTAATGCCCCATGTGGTAAAAAACTGACCCATCGTAGGAGAGGGTTTGAATGATCCCCAGCGCATTCTGCCTCGCACCTTGAGGCATTAGGCGTGACTTGATGGCAGATGAAGAAGTAGGGGGAGGGGAAGTAAAGACAAGTAGAGTGGATGTAGTGAATGTGAATGTCCATGCCCACGTGCCAGTGATGGTGAGGGTTCCATATTTCAGTATTCGTGTGTTGCACATATTGCAAGTGATTCAATGTGCCCCGAGTAGCACCCCTACCGCCACGGCCACCACCATCGGCAAAGGCAGCAGCATTAGCAGCATCACCAGGTTGGTCTAGGTTGGACCTGCTCCTCGTAGCGAGTGAGGTCCATCTCCCATTCCAGCTTCAGCCTCTTAAACTAGAGCTGCACTGGGATCCGTTTCTCCACCTGCGCTTGCCAGTCCCTGGAAGAAAGGAAACGAGATGACAATTGGAAAATGAAAGCGAAGGAGGGAGGGAGGGAGGGAGGCAGGGAGGGAGGGAGGGAGGGAGGGAGGGAGGGAGGGAGGGAGGGAGGGAGGGAGGGAGGGAGGGAGGAAGGGAGGGAGGGAAGGTGGAGATAGATCAGCTGCCGCAAGCAATTTGCCAAAGTTTTTGTGCTCGCCCTGCTACAGAATTTCGCAAAACCCCGAATTTCTCCCTCGTCTGACACTCCGTCAAAACTCACCCAAACACCCTGATTGGAGCATAGTGAAAAACACACTGCTGAAATTCCTCGACGGGGTTTGCCACTCACTTAACATGGCAGTAGTCAAGGCGATAAACCTGCCACTACCACCACGCCACCAACCAGACGATCATGAGAGTCGTCGGGGTGGAAGGCTTGGATTGACGCGACAGCCTTCGACAAGCAGCGATGGCACTTAACCCCACATGCTACTATGCTCAATGCTCATGCTGACCCCACCATTCTAGTCAACTGGCCTGAGGACCCTTCCTCCACCCTACTTGCCATCTCTGGACCAGCCTTTGCCAAGCTGCTCACCTGCTGTAAGAACGGGGTCGGCGCGGGTCCATCAGGAACCACATTCGAACATCTTTGGGATGCTGCACTCTCAAACACCAATATCCTCAACCACTTCTACGCCCTTACCAACACCGTTCTTAATAGCAACTTCCCGCCAAGTAGCCGAGTTATTCACCTTGTCGTGCCTTATAGCTCAGATGAAGCCGGATGGGGGGGTACGCCCTATTCGATGTGGGCGAATGCTTTATGCGAGTGGTGGTGAAATCCGCCCTCTTCGTCATAGACGACACATCAAGATAGTTCTTGCTCCTGCTACAATCTATGGCGGGAAGAAAGGGAGGCCAATATTCACTCTGCATGCGCCTTCATAGGCTTGCATTCTCAATATCTTATTCCGCACGTAGTCTTGACCAATGCTTTCAACATCATCGACCGCGACGCAATCATAAAAAAACCTTCACGGAATCATCGGCGCAATCACAGCTGCCACTTGTATGCCTCTTCTACAGGAAGTCGTCTACCAAAGCTCACCCCTGCCACTTGTGAGAGAGGAGTCCCCCAGGGTGACCCTCTAGGACCACTCTTGTTTGTAGTAGGAATGTACCCCACCTTGAAGGCTACAACCGAGGCGCACCCTTCAGACTTGTGCATGGCCTATGTTGATGATGTCACCTTCATCGCCTCACCAGACGAGGCGGCTGCATTTTTCAATCGCTTCACCCAGAGGCTTGAACAGCTAGGCCTTTCCCACAACCCGACTAAATCTGCAGCGTGGAGTGTCAAAACATATATGCTCATGTGTTGTAGGCTATATGGGTGTTAACACTAGGGGGTACAAAATTTCTCTCGATGTTGTTCTTGTACCCCTCCCCCTTGACCTAATCACCATTCCTTCATGTATTCTAACATGGTATTAAGAGCTGGGACCTTTCTAGCCTAGGACCTATTTTTTCAAAGGGCCCACCGTTAGAACCTTCCGTGTTCCTGCCCGAATCGCACCCTAGGCGCGTTCCATTATTTTTCTGCCCGAAATGCGCCCTTAGGTGCGTCGATTTTCACTGCTCAGCCCGCTGCCCCGCTGCCCTGCCCTGTCCTGTCGCGCGCAGCCCGTACAGCCCGCGCCAGGCCCGCGCGCAGCCCGTACAGCCCGCGCCAGGCCCGCGCGCAGCCCGTACAGTCCGCGCTAGGCCTTCGCGCAGCCCGTACAGCCCCCGCCAGGCCCGCGCGCAGCCCGTACAGCCCGCGCGCAGCCCGTACAGCTCGCGCCAGGCCCGCGCGCAGCCTCTGCAGCCCCGTGCTGCCCCCTGCTTGCCCGCGCGTTGCCTTTGCCTCCCGCGCGCAGCACCTGCAGCCCTCGCGCTGCCCCCTGCTCCCCCGCGCGCCGCCGCTGCGGCCCGCGCGTAGCCTCTGCAGCCCCGCGCTGACCCCTGCTTGCCCACACGCCGCCTCTGCCGCCCGCGCGTAGCACCTGCAACCCCCGCGCTGCCCCCCCCCCCCCCCTTAATTGCCCGCGTGCCGCCCCTGCCGCCCGCGCGCAGCCTCTGCAGCCCCCGCGCTGCCTCCTGCCTGCCCGCGCGCAGCTCCTTCGACCCGCGCGCTCCTCCCCTTGAGCACCGCGAGTGGCCTCTGCTGCCCGCGCACTGCCCCTTGCACGCTCGCGCCCTGCCTGCTGCAGCCCGTGCACCACTAGCTCCGGGCCGCCTCTGCAGCCCGCGCACGCCGCCCCTCCTGCTGCTTCTGCCTGCGCGCTGCGCAACTTGCTGCTTCCTCACAAGCGCGCTCGCTATTACGATACGGACTTAATCTAGGAACCGGGTTTAAGGAGGGCCTAGGCTTAGAAGCCTAGGCCAAGCGGGTGTCGAGGGATTTGTCGCCAAGAGAGAATCGAGAATGATTGGTTTCACTATAGCACACAAGGTACATATAGCAAAATAGCAACGGTGCACCACCAACAACAAGAAGGCATAGTTACACTAAAGCTAAAGCTACAGGCAGTTATAAACATATATAAAATATATATCGCGACACACCTTTTTAACTGCCTGCAGCACATAACTATAGCAAGTCACACCCCCGGAACCTGGGCAAGAGGTAGAAGAAGCAGGGGAAACAGCAACACAGATCAACCATGTTAAATGCAACAACGGCAAGTGCAGGACCCGAGAGGTGGGCGTGAGAGCAAGCGCCGTGGCTACAACGAGCAGCTGGACAGCGCGGCTCAGCACCTCCGGGAGCGTGCCTGCTACAGGCAGCAGATGCAGTGATGGCAGATAGAGCCACAGTAACCTCAGCCACGGCAGATGCAGCAGCAACAGGTGTAGGACCCGGCAGGTGGGCGTGAGAGTAGGCGCTGTGGCTGCAACGAGCAGCTGGACAGCACCGCTCAGCACCTCCGGGGGCGTGCCTGCTACAGGCAACGGCTGCAAATGCCCGACTTACTTCTTCCACCCCCTTACCCGCCACTCAACCCCTCTGGTGCTGGCGGCTGGCGCTGGTGCTGGTTCCTGGTGCTGGCGCTGGGGCTGGTTCCTAGAGCTGGCGGCTGGCGCTGGGGCTGGTTCCTGGTGCTGGCGGTTGGAGCTGGGGCTGGTTCCTGGTGCTGGCGGCTGGCGCTGGGGCTGGTTCCTGGTGCTGGCGGCTGGCGCTGGGGCTGGTTCCTTGTGCTGGCGGCTGGCGTTGGGGCTGGTTCCTGGTGCTGGCGGCTGGCGCTGGGGCTGGTTCCTGGTGCTGGCGGCTGGCGCTGGGGCTGGTTCCTGGTGCTGGCGGCTAGCGCTGGGGCTGTTTCCTGGTGCTGGCGGTTGGCGCTGGGGCTGGTTCCTGGTGCTGGCGGCTGGCGCTGGGGCTGGTTCCTGGTGCTGGCGGCTGGCGCTGGGGCTGGTTCCTGGTGCTGGCGGCTGGTGCTGCAGATGAACTCTCCCCACCCACACCCCCTGAACCTCCCCCCCCACAGCAGCAGCAGTGACGGCGAAAGAGAGGAGGAGGCGTGGCGGCAGTTGCTGCAGTTGAATCACCCCCTCCAAGCCACTCCCCCCCCCACAACTGCAGTCGCGGAAGGGAAGGCGATGAGGGGGGAAGGGAAGAGGGACGGCGGTAGGCGCTGGCGGCAGGCCTGGCGCTGGCGCTAGCGCTCGCTTCTGACGGCCGCCCACCACCCCTTTCCCCCACTCCTCCTCCCCCCCACTTGAGCCGCCAACCCCGCCACTCTCGCCACTCCCGCCAATCCCGCCGCCGCCGCCCCCACTGTCCACCACACCCACCACCGCCCAACACATCATAGGCAGGCGCGGTAGCGGGGGGTGCGCAACGAGGGAGGGACGGGGAGGGGCAGGGACGGGTGGCGTACGGGAGGTGGGCGGGGTGCGAGCTGGCTGGCGCGTCGGTTGGGCCGCCACCCTTTCCCCCTTCCTTCCCCCCCCCACCGCGACCGTCTCTGCAACCGCGCAGGGCCGGGACGGGTGGGGAAGAGGTGGCGGGGTAGAGAGCTGACGACGGGCGGCGGCGGGTGCTGCTTGCGCAGCCGTCGCGGCTGGCGTTGGTCGGCGATGACGGAAGGCCGCGACGACCAGCGCGCTGGTCGTCGCGACCTTCGCTAGCGAGCGTGCGACGAGGAGGCGACGCGGGGTAGCGCATGTGGGCGAACGCGCTGGCAAGCCGCTGGCGATTTTGCTGGCATTATCGCTGGCGCATGGGCAACGAGCTCGTTGGCGGAACCGACGGCGGGTCTGTCGGCGGGTTTGCATGCGGGTCCATCGGCGCTATCGCTGGTGCGTTCCTGGCGTGCGCGTTGGCGTGCGTTGCTGGTAATGCGCGGGCGACGGGCTGAAAACGGGAAAATGCTCACGAGGCGCACTAACGGGCGCGCCATTGCAAGCACTAATGGTGGGCCCATTTGAAAACGGTCCTAATTGGACCTGGCTCTATACCATGCTACGATACGGACTTAATATAGGAACCGGTTTTAAGGAGGGCCTAGGCTTAGAAGCCTAGGCCAAGCGGGTGTCGAGGGAGTTGTCGCCAAGAGAGAATCGAGAATGATTGGTTTCACTATAGCACACAAGGTACAGATAGCAAAATAGCAATGGTGCACCACCAACAAAAAAAAGGCATAACTACACTAAAGCTAAAGCTACAGGCAGTTATAAACATATATAAAATATATATCGCGACACGCGCTGCCGTTCCTGCTGCTGCCTGCTATGGCAACCCTACATGTGCTTCAGTTTGATCCGGAGGGCCGACCCGTTCGCTTCTATGTCTGGCTCGATGACCTGCAGTTGTACTTACAGACAGAGTCTAGAGATGGCGTCTCGCTGTTTGCCAACACGTCTGGTGCCTCGCTCGCTCCTGACGGTACGGACAGTCTTGCTCACTCCCAGTGGCTTACCTGTGACGCTACTGCTCGTCTAGCCGTTCGCAACCACCTACCGGTAGACGAATGCGTGCATTTCCGCCAGCAGACTGCCAAAGCACTGTTCGACGCTGTAGTCACTAGTTACTCCTCCCCTGCCACTGCTACCCTCAGTCGCCTCATTCTGCCCTACCTTTTCCCCGAGCTATCCTCCTTTGCCACAGTCGCTGATCTCATCTCTCACCTGCGCACTAGCAACACTCGTTATCGCGCTGCACTTCCTGCTGAGTTCCTAGCCAAGAACCCCCCCCCCCCCCCCCCCCCCCCGATGTACATCACTCTCTACTACATCGTCACCCGCCTCCCTGACACTCTTCACGCAGTCAGGGACCAGTTTCTCCAGCTAGACCCCACAGCCCTCACTGTCGATGACCTCGAGAAGCACCTGCTGGCAGCTGAGACTGGTATAGTCGCTGTAGGCGCTGCTCGTGGCACTCCTCGCACTCCCTTCTTTGAGATGTGTTCTCCCTCCCCACTTATTGTTATAGACAGAGTAGGCTCCAATGTGCCTAAAACGAAAGATAGAGTGCACAGTCGGATTTCTGCACAGCGGCTTCAAACGTTCATAGCGTTCTGGTCACAGCTTTAAATGACTTGATTCAACTTGGATCTGGAGCGTCTTATTGTCGCCTACAATAGGCAATTTAGATCGCACGATTTCACCAAGTATTGACGACACAGCGTTAGTTTGAACGAACGGCACTATGGCAGCCACTATAGTCTTAGAACACAAGATAGGAAGAGTTAGGAAGAGTTACGAGTTGGGAATGACTCCCAGCTCCTACAAACCCCAAGAGCCGAGGTACAGTGATGTGGAACAGTGCCACACTGTCCCCAACCACGAAGGGTCTCGAAACTACCCTTCACTAGGGCCTACACCAAGTGAAATGTTACACTACACAAAGTAATGTAACTATCTTCAATATCTTGAGGTGTACCCTTTTGGCGAGCTTCGAAATCACTTGAGGCTTGACACCAAGGCTCGGGTTCTTCATCACAAACTCATCCTTGAGTTCTTGATGGGTCTGCTGCACACACCTACGACACGCCGAACGTTCGACACAGGACAAAATAGAAACCGCGCACGACAAAATAGAAACCGCGCGCGAGACACAAACGACCGCGTAACACGCGTCTAGCGATAACTTGAAAAGATTAGAAGGTAGAGAAGTTTAGAATGAAGAAGAAGGGGGGGTTCACTAGAAAGCAGCAGGATACATATAAGAAACCCTAAGGGGTTGTACTCGCTATAGAGTACCCCACTGCAGGCTAGAGAACAATGACATTCTGACACACCCCCATAGCCAAAGTGGGGTGTAATCAGCAGAGCAAGCAAAGCAGAACAAGCTCAGGGTGGATCACAATGTCACCACACATTCTGAGCACAAGTACAAGAAGCAATAGTTTAAAGTTCACAATTATGAGCAAAGCTAGAGGCTATCGCAGAGGGCAAGTGAGGAGGAGGAGGCGAGAGTGAGAGGAGAGGAGATAGGAGGCGACGGCTGAAGCTGCAGACACACGGGCAACAGGAGTCACACTGGCACAGCGGCTACCGGAACAACGCTCCGGACTACTGGAGTAACTGGCTCCGCGGCTAAAAGTAGTGGCAGACGAGCAACGGACCCACGGGCGACTGGCACAGCTGGCTGCGACTGGGCTACCGGAGCAACTCCCCGGACTACAGGTGCTGCTGGCGACACGACGGCAACCTCAGTTCAACCTCCCCAAACAGTCCCACTCCCCCTGACACACACCTTCTGCTTCACCCCTAGCTCCACTCCCCCTTCACCCCCCTTAGTACCACTCCGACGGCTCCAACAGGTCCACCCCCCTCAGCGGCAGCTGCAGCACTGGGAGACGGAGGAGGAGGAGGAGCAGGGGACGGCACACAGAAGCTGCACCCCCATACCCCCCACCCCCAAACCCTAATTCAGGAGAACGGGCAGCAGCAGGGGTGGGGCGCCATCAGAAGCACGGGGGACAGCGGGCAGCGCAGGGGCAGCGAAGAACGGGCCGCCCACGGGCCTGGCACAGCCGCCCGAACCGCGCGCAGGCGGCCCGAGCCGCGCGCGGGCCTGGCGCAGCCCGTACGGGCCGCGCGCGGGCCTGGCGCAGCCCGTACGGGCCGCGCGCGGGCCTGGCGCAGCCCGTACGGGCCGCGCGCAGGCTTTACGAGCCGCGCGCAGGCCACGACGGGCGACGGGGGGCGACGCGCGGGTCCCCGTCGCCCGTCGCAGCGCCTCCCGGGAGCGACGCGCGGAGTGACGGGGCAGAAACCCGCCGCGCGCCTCGGGGCGCACGACGGGCAGACAACCGCCGCGCGCCTCGGGGCGCATGGCGGGCAGAAAACCGCCGCGCGCCTCGGGGCGCACGGCGGGCAGAAAACCGCCGCACGCTCCGAGCGCGCGGCGGGATGAAAAATCCGTCGCACGCCACGGGGCGTGCGACACAGAGAGTAGCAGTAGTAGCAGAAGCAGTGAGGTGGTGAGCCCACCCACAGGATCGACCCAAGGGGATCGACCTGCTCTGATAGCATTAAAAGATTAGAAGGTAGAGAAGTTTAGAATGAAGAAGAAGGGGGGGTTCACTAGAAAGCAGCAGGATACATATAGGAAACCCTAAGGGGTTGTACTCGCTATAGAGTACCCCACTGCAGGCTAGAGAACAATGACATTCTGACATAACTCGCTATTGACTCGACACACACACTCGACATCATGACTCAACATTCACACACAATTATAAGCATGAAATATATATTATCCCATGCCCTCATACCATTCCATACACACACACATGCACGCACACGGACAACAAGCCGAGTGCAAACCGTAGGGTTGCACCAACACTTACCCCCTCCTTCGCCTCTGCTAATGCTGTCGACTTCCTTGGTGCTGAGGAGGTCGGGGCTGCTTCTGCTCCTAATGGGAAGCGCCGCAGCGGCAAGGGCAAGGCGCTCAAGGGAGGTGGGGGTGGCAGCGGGGGTAGTGGAGGCGGTGGAGACTATGGAGGCGGTGGAGGCAGTGGAGGCGGTGGAGGTGGTGGGAGCGGTGGCGGGAGTGGTGGCGGGAGTGGTGGCGGGAGTGGTGGTGGGAGTGGTGGCGGCAGTGGCGGTGGTGGAGGCAGTGGGAGTGGTGGTGGCGGCAGTGGTGGCGGTCGGGGTGGGGCTGGTCAGAGGGGAGGCTCTGGGGGAGGCCAGCGGCAGCAGCAGCAGCGTCCGACCGAGACCCGCACACCTCCGCAGCTCCGTGAGTGGCTTGCTCAGCGGTCTTCTGGGTCCAGTTCTCGCTGCCCGTACCTTATTCGCACTGGTGACCGTGCGGGTCAGAGATGCGGGAAGTTTCAGACCCAGCACCGCTGCTTCTCCCGCCTTGACGACGCTTGGCGCGCAGAGTTTGGCGATGAGGCTGAGCGCCCTCTCTGGCTAGAGCTGTTTAGGTCTGGGGTTGATATCTTTGCTCTTGACTTCGATGCTATACTCTCTGCCATGTATGCATTGACTATTAGTGGTGAGGGTGACTGTTACTCGAGTGTGCCACCTGACCCAGGTATAGAGGCTGCAGCCCTAGGTGCTAGCGAGTCTGCTCTCACTGGTACTGCGCCCACTGAGGCCTTGCACACCTTCACGCTTGACTCAGGTGCTTCTCGCTGTTTCTTTCGTGACAGTACCACACTGACACCACTTCGTGCACCTGTTCCTGTCTCTCTGGCCGACCCCTCCGGGGGGCCAGTTGTTGCACGTTCCTCCACTGTTCTCCCTTGTCCGGCGGTTCCGTCCGGCTCACTGACAGGTCTCCACCTCCCCTCGTTCTCTACGAACTTGGTGAGCAACGCTGTCCTCCAAGATGCGGGGGTTGACACCTTCACTCCTGGTCGGCAGCGTGTGGCGATCTGTACGTGCTCCCAGACCGGCCGCCACCTGGCCACGTTCACCCGTCGGCCTGGGTCGAGTCTGTACACACTGACTACTGCGCCTCCTCAGGTAGCTGCGTTTGCGTCTGCGTCAGGTCAGCTTGCGGCCCCGTGCTCGTGTCGCGCCCTATCGCACCGGACGCTCCTTTGGCACCACC